AGGGTGAACTAGGACCAGGAGAACCAGTGAGAGTGAACTAGGACCAGGAGAACCAGTGAGAGGGTGAACTAGGATGAGGAGAACCAGTGAGAGGGTGAACTAGGACCAGGAGAACCAGTGAGAGAGTGAACAATGACCAGGAGAACCAGTGAGAGAGTGAACTAGGACCAGGAGAACCAGTGAGAGAGTGAACTAGGACCAGGAGAACCAGTGAGAGGGTGAACTAGGACAAGGAGAACCAGTGAGAAGGTGAACTAGGACCAGGAGAACCAGTGAGAGAGTGAACTAGGACCAGGAGAACCAGTGAGAGGGTGAACCAGGACAAGGAGAACCAGTGAGAGGGTGAACTAGGACCAGGAGAACCAGTGAGAGAGTGAACTAGGACCAGGAGAACCAGTGAGAGAGTGAACTAGGACCAGGAGAACCAGTGAGAGAGTGTGCCAGGACCAGGAGAACCAGTGAGAGGGTGTACCAGGACCAGGAGAACCAGTGAGAGGGTGAACCAGGACTAGGAGAACCAGTGAGAGGGTGAACTAAGACCAGGAGAACCAGTGACGGGTGAACTAGGACCAGGAGAAACCAGTGAGAAAGTGTGCCAGGACCAGGAGAACCAGTGACAGGGTGAACTAGGACCAGGAGAACCAGTGAGAGAGTGTACCAGGACCAGGATAACCAGTGAGAGGGTGAACTAGGACCAGGAGAACCAGTGAGAGAGTGTACCAGGACCAGGATAACCAGTGAGAGGGTGAACTAGGACCAGGAGAACCAGTGAGAGGGTGAACTAGGACCAGGATAACCAGTGAGAGGGTGTACCCAGGACCAGGAGAACCAGTGTGAGGGTGAACCAGGACCAGGAGAACCAGTGAGAGGGAGTACCAGGACCTGGACTGTGAGGCAACACTGACATTTCCCGACTGTGGGACCAGTAAAGGGTGGTTCTGGTACCTGGTCTCCACACAGTGTCCGCACTCGCCGCACCACGGCCTCCTCTTGGCAGGTGTATCTCTGCACCGACATCACCAGCAGAACAGCATGAGGTCCTGGAGCACACTGCAGCAGAGCACTGAGCCACTCACACCTCTGAGCCCGACCCGAGGCCCCCTGCAGAGGGTACCGACCAGACCAGGGGAGTCCACCACCTACCAGAGAGACCAGAGAGAGACCAGAGAGAGACCAGAGAGGGATCAGAGAGAGACCAGAGAGAGACCAGAGAGATCAGAGAGACCAGAAGGGAGACCAGAGAGACCAGAAGGGAGACCAGAGAGAGACCAGAGAGAGACCAGAAGGGAGACCAGAGAGAGACCAGAGACAGACCAGAGACAGACCAGAGAGACCAGAAGGGAGTCCAGAGAGACCAGAAGGGAGACCAGAGAGACCAGAAGGGAGTCCAGAGAGACCAGAAGGGAGACCAGAGAGACCAGAAGGGAGACCATAGAGACCAGAAGGGATCAGAGAGAGAAAAACAAAATTATCTTCTTAGCCTCTTGCATTGAGCACACGATTAACTTTTGTAGGTCTGAAAGTTGGTAAATTTGCTAAGTATGTATTGTTTCTTACATTTCAATAGTTAAATCTAGTAAAACTTCTCCATGGTTTGTGTTTTAGTCATGACAAGAGCTTAAGGCTGGCTCTTGGTTAAAGAAGTAGTAGAAATATTCAGCAATATATAATATACAGCAATAGGCATGAAAAGAACTCAGTGAAGGAGAGAGGGTGTCCACACTTTTGGTCTGTACTGTATATACAGTATATATTAAAAGAAAATGATGTGAGATAAGTAGAAAGATTTGTTTGATTTTCTATATATAACACCAAGATGTCTGCCCCTGGTCTGTCCAAGTTGTTGGAGACCACTGAACTAAAGCACACCCCATCAATCAGAGTGAGTGCGTATAGGACCAGCTCTGACCGTGAGAGTCCGGGTCCCGGTCTGGGGCCTGGTCTGGGTTCTGGTCTGGGTTCTGGTGTGGCTCTGGACCTCCGAATCTCCTTGTTACTCCTGTGGCTCACACTGAACACAGACTCCCCCAGGAGGAGGTTGGCCAGACTGCTCTTCCCACAGCCCTGCTTCCCCAGCAGCAGCACCCGGAGCGACTCTGGCTCTGCACAACCAACACCTGGATTTAAATTCACGTTCAGTACTTTACATTTTACATTCATGTCCTCAGGCTGCAGTGGACAGAAGCAACTGTGCTTTTATTACTGAATATAGTGGTACATATGGTCTCTCTCTGGTCTCTCTCTGGTCTCTCTCTGGTCTCTCTCTGGTCCTCTCTCTGGTCTCTCTCTGGTCTCTCTCTGGTCTCTCTCTGGTCTCTCTCTAGTCTCTCTCTGGTCTCTCTCTGATCTCTCTCTGGTCTCTCTCTGGTCCCTCTCTCTGGTCTCTTTCTGGTCGTCTCTGGTCTCTCTCTCTTTTCTCTCTCTGGTCTCTCTCTGGTCTCTCTCTGGTCCCTCTCTGGTCTCTTTCTGGTCGTCTCTGGTCTCTCTCTCTTTTCTCTCTCTGGTCTCTCTTTGGTCTCTCTCTGGTCTCTCTCTGGTCTCTCTCTGGTCTCTCTCTAGTCTCTCTCTGGTCTCTCTCTTTTCTCTCTCTGGTCTCTCTCCGGTCTTGTGTATCCGAGAACAAGGCTTTAAGGCGCTCACATCGCTTCAGAAACAGGAAGAAAAAGTATTAGTACCAGAGCCATGTCTTCACTAACAGTTTGACTAAAGTAAGTAAATAATAATACATGTATTAGTACACATATGGTTAGGAATAGAGCGCTCTCACCTCCCATGGTGCTGGTCTGTCTGGACTGGTGCAGAGTCTGGCAACCAGTTACTTTCACTTTCACAGAGGCGGAGTCTCAACCACAGCCGATCCCAAAACACCTGCAGAACCTGCTCGGACAAATATCTCACCACTGAGAGAGAGACCAGAGGGAGAGACCAGAGGGAGAGGCCAGCGAGAGACCAGAGAGAGAGACCAGAGAGAGAGGCCAGAGAGAGAGACCAGAGAGAGAGACCAGAGGGAGAGACCAGAGAGAGAGACCAGAGAGAGAGACCAGAGGGAGAGACCAGAGAGAGACCAGAGAGAGACCAGAGAGAGAGGCCAGAGGGAGAGGCCAGAGAGAGACCCAGATGGAGAGGCCAGAGAGAGACCAGAGAGAGAGACCAGAGAGAGACCAGAGAGAGAGGCCAGAGAGAGAGACCAGAGAGAGACCAGAGGGAGAGACCAGAGGGAGAGACCAGAGGGAGAGGCCAGAGAGAGACCAGAGAGAGACCAGAGAGAGACCAGAGAACTTAACTAAACTGTAAAGCACTTTGTGTTGATTTTTTGTATGAAAAGCGCTTTTTAAATACAATTTGATTGATTGATCTTGGAGAGACCAGGGGCAGACATCTTGGAGAGACCGGGGGCAGACATCTTGGAGAGACCAGGGGCAGACATGTCACTCCCGTATTCGTCCCGGAAACCGGATTCGTCCGGAAGTTCAGTTTTGATCCAATGAGCATACGCAGCAGTAGATTACGTCACGGAATCTGGACGGAAGCGGAAGTAAATATAAAAAACTACCTATTCATGCCTAAACTTAACCAGCCATTCCCATAAAATAACCCCAACCCAGCCTTAACCCTAACCTTAACCATCTTACTCAGACGCCTAAACTTAACCAGTCTCCATTAAGGACATATTAAACTTTTTGACATGCGCAAACTGAACTTCCGGACGAATCCGGTTTCCGGACGAATACGGGAGTGACATGTCTGCCCCTGGTCTCTCCAAGATGTCTGCCCCCGGTCTCTCCAAGATGTCTGCCCCTGGTCTCTCCAAGATCAATCAATCAAATTGTATTTAAAAAGCGCTTTTCATACAAAAAATCAACACAAAGTGCTTTACAGTTTAGTTAAGTTCTCTGGTCTCTCTCTGGTCTCTCTCTGGTCTCTCTCTGGCCTCTCCCTCTGGTCCTCTCCCTCTGGTCTCTCCCTCTGGTCTCTCTCTGGTCTCTCTCTCTGGCCTCTCTCTCTGGTCTCTCTCTGGTCTCTCTCTCTGGTCTCTCTCTGGCCTCTCCATCTGGTCTCTCTCTGGCCTCTCCCTCTGGCCTCTCTCTCTGGTCTCTCTCTGGTCTCTCTCTGGTCTCTCCCTCTGGTCTCTCTCTCTGTCTCTCTCTCTGGTCTCTCCCTCTGGTCTCTCTCTCTGGTCTCTCTCTCTGGCCTCTCTCTCTGGTCTCTCTCTCTGGTCTCTCGCTGGCCCTCTCCCTCTGGTCTCTCCCTCTGGTCTCTCTCTCAGTGGTGAGATATTTGTCCGAGCAGGTTCTGCAGGTGTTTTGGGATCGGCTGTGGTTGAGACTCCGCCTCTGTGAAAGTGAAAGTAACTGGTGCCAGACTCTGCACCAGTCCAGACAAGACCAGCACCATGGGAGGTGAGAGCGCTCTATCCTAACCATATGTGTACTAATACATGTATTATTATTTACTTACTTTAGTCAAACTGTTAGTGAAGACATGGCTCTGGTACTAATACTTTTTCTTCCTGTTTCTGAAGCGATGTGAGCGCCTTAAAGCCTTGTTCTCGGATACACAAGACCGGAGAGAGACCAGAGAGAGAAAAGAGAGAGACCAGAGAGAGACTAGAGAGAGACCAGAGAGAGACCAGAGAGAGACCAGAGAGAGACCAAAGAGAGACCAGAGAGAGAAAAGAGAGAGAGACCAGAGACGACCAGAAAGAGACCAGAGAGGGACCAGAGAGAGACCAGAGAGAGACCAGAGAGAGAAAAGAGAGAGAGACCAGAGACGACCAGAAAGAGACCAGAGAGAGACCAGAGAGAGACCAGAAGATGAGACCCCCCTCGGCAGTGTACTCACTTCCTGTGCCAGACCCTCAGAATGCACCAACATCATTCTGCATTTTAACAGCAGCTGTGAAAACGGAAACTGAACCTAGAGCTTCGCGTGGTCTCGTTTGGACGAACGAAGGAGTAGAATTATCCTCTGTGCCGCGCTGAAAGCCCACGAAGCTAGTTAGTGCGACCGCCGCCATTGTTGTTGTATGTTTGTTCTCCGCTACTGCGCATGTCCAAATTTACGTGCGGGGGTCAGAGCAGAGGGGGATTTCACACCTTTCCCCTCTCGCGGGTGTGAAAGAGCTCCCTGCTGTGCAGCGTTTCTGAGTTGTCCCACTCTGCAGGCTGGATCTGAACACTTACGTTTTCACCCCCCTGGAACACAGTCTTCGTATGAACGGTTGGTAGCAACCGACATCCAACTATACCGTTTTACTGCCACATTGTCTCCGTGTAAACTCAGCCTGAGAGCTCAGACCACAGGAGCCCAGAAACGCCCACCCAGGCACAGATCAAAGAGCAAAGGAAAATGCCACCTCCTTGCCCCTCCCCACGCCACTCCAGAACTGAGTGGGTGTGAGAGAGAGCGGGGCAGAGAGAGGTGTCTGGAGACGTGATGGTGGAGCATCAGGGAGAGACCTGGAGGAGAGTTGAGAGTGTGTCCAGTTGGTTTACATCACCACAGTGTGACCTTTGACACCTACAGGTGGTTCCAGGAGTCTGGAGACACAACCCCAAAACACACATCCACACACACACACACACACACATCTACACACTCACACATTCACATTTACACATAGATACATGAAAAAGCAGAATATGAGAAAAAAAGCGTTAAAAGTTTACTCCAATGTAAACAAATATTTAATTGTCTATCACTTGAATCTTTATTTGAATCAGTATTTTTTGAGACCAGAAATTTTCATTTGAATTCTATATAGTCATGGACTTAATTGGCCTGTCTTGACATTTGTTGTTTTGAAGTAACAAGTAATTACATTGATTAGGATAAGATCTGATAAAAACACAAATTAGAGAAGTAAACTGCGCTTTTGTCTGAGGGACATTAGCAACAGCATGAATAGAAATTGTCTTTAAAGTAGAATCAAAATGACTTAACCATAGAGAGTAACTACTGCATAACAAGCTGTGTACAGGAACTGTGACACTGCACCATTGACCAGAAGTGCATCGCAAAGAGCGACCCAAGTGACCTGATGCATCTGGAGAGACCAAAACCATGGCTTGGACCCTACTGATGTCCAAGATGACATCTCTCTATGACCTGACCTGATGACGACTGAGACTCACCCTCAGGGGACCCTGAGGACCCTGAGGACCCTGAGGACCTGAGGATCTGAAGACCTTGGAGAGAAAAACTGGGGAGTGATGTTTATATTTTTAAAATCATACATTGATGAGTGCTAAATGAGACAGATTCTCATGATTCTTTCTTTTGTTTGTGTTTGTCTCTAGCTTCTGGACATCTGATGATCTATTGGACACAGACATTTGCAGAACAAGAACCAGCCAATGAAAAACCATCTATTGCCGATGCTATTGCTACAACCAGAACCACAACTGTGACCAAATGCAACAAATGTAAAGTATTCAGACATCTGACAGACAAAAACTTTGACTTTTTAGTCTGGGAGACTGAGCAACTGTTAAAATGTTTTAAAATGATAAAGTATGAGTATTGTAGCGTTTTAGTAGATGTTAAATAGTAGTAAAAAAGTAAAATTTGACTTCCTTTGTTTTTCATAAACACATTTCCACGTAAGAGTTAAACTCATAACTATACAATGTTATCCTTCTGATAGAGCAGCTAAAATATTAGAATCAGAGTTATTTTAGAGACATTGAAAGTGACAGAAGTCACAAATTATAAATATGCCTTGGCTCAAGCTGCAACCGAGCTTTAGAGTCACAATAGAGTAAAAATAGAAATAGATAAATGCATCAACCATAGATACTTTCAAAAATAGAGAATATTTCTAGTCAGTGCTAATATAAACGGTAAAAGGACCATTTCACAAACATTTACTTCAAAAGTAGATCAAGTTAATTACAGTTTTATGCACAGTTTTATTAGATACTGTCAAATTCACTTGTGTTCAAACATGAGTGAATGTTGACAATGCAAAAAGTCCATGAGTGTAGTCTAGATTAAAGCCTAGATTAATGAGATGGATTAGAACCAAGAGAGATTCAAAAGCATTTTAATAATAATAATAATAATTTGATTATTATTTGGGTATAGCCCAAAAACACAATAGTAGATATTTAGATATTGAGAAGTTTCCAGCACAAACACCATTGTAGAATAACTGACCCCAAACCTGCTAAAATAGATTAGCTCTTGTAAGGATAATACCAATTTGATTAATGATGTACATTCATCCCAAACTGCCTGAGAGAAGGAAGTGACATCACTTCCTGGTTCAACAAATGTATTTGGAAAACTGACCGCCATAATAATGTTCATATTAACCATTTGTCTTTCTGTGTTCACAGTTTTATTCCTGAGAATCTAGAATAGACAGAGAGCAAAATCCCCACAATAATCCACTGATAATGAAAGTAAACCACAGAGAGATTTATTAGATTAAAATATATGTTTAAGAATATGGCTCAATAAAAGCAAATATGCAAACATATTTGTAAATAGATTAGAATAGTTTTAAACTATCGTGAATAGTAAAAGTAAAGTACACAGTCTAAGATTGAAAAGTGAAAATAATACAGTGAAATAAGTGAAGTGTAAACAATTATCATTAGAATAAAAGTATAAAGTAAGAAAAGTTAAATAAGCTTCTAAACTGAGACTCAGCTCGTTTTTGTCTGTGTTTTGACTGAAGCTGCGGAGTTCTACTGTGTCCAATAGGGTTTGTTTTTGTTTTTTATTTGTTTTTGTTTACATTTTTTTTGTTTTTTGTTTATTTATTTAC